AAGCTTTCCCAATTGACCAGTGTTCCCTCCACCATCATCTACTACAAAGTGTTATGCCACTAGAACCCAACATCTCTAAAAGACTTGAAGGAAACAAGTGACACCTTCTAAGTATTTGGGCACTCCACAGCTTGAAAAATCTTATCCATTTCAAAGATAAACTTTATAGTCCCATCAAAATCATACCCACCCCTAAAGGTAGGTGGATCATTTTGCTGAAACCTTGACAACCAATTGGACCCAAAAACATTTGAATTACCCATCACCTGAGTTATTGCTTGTAAGGCATCAAGTAAAACACTTTTGTTTCTTCTTGACATTACTTTTCTAGTTCTTAGAAAAGTGCATGGTGACATCATGCCAAGGTGCCGAGTCCAAAAGGAATCAAGAGGAGTAGGCTAAGCTTGAAGAAATAAGGCTTAAACTTTTATTGAACTTTAGGTCACTTTTAGTAGCTTACTTTCTCTTCGTTGTATATATTTTTCCTTGTAAATATTTTATTAATTTTGACCTTGTATTTTTTGGTGAAATAGTGTAGGAATTTATTTTCTTGTAATTTTATTTTTAGGTGTGTAATTAGTATTTTAAGGGGTGTAACTAGTAATGAAATATGTGTTTATTTGGCTTGTTTGGCCATGAAAGAGTGGGGAGCATAGTTCACTAGCTCTCATGGATCATTTAAACTCCACCAAGTCACATGTTTCAAGCACTAGTCACACTTTTAGCACCTTGTTATGTGGCATGCTTTAATTAGCTCCTCTAGATCTAAAATGTTGACATCTAGTCACACCTTATGCACCTAGCCATGTGGCATTCTCTCATTGGCTCTTCTAGATTTAGGATAGTGACATTTTTAAGAAGGAAATTCAAATTCAAAATGCAACTAAAGTTAGTTATCTTGAGCACAAGTTAATCTAACCTTAGTTACATTTACTGATTGTTAGCTTAACATGCACTACAAGCTATCAAACTATATATATATATTCATTCTTCCCCTTATTTGGACGTCACTTTTGCGTATAACGAGAATTGATTTGTTCAAAATTCTCTTTTCAAAAGCATAGATTTCTCCTTGGATAACTTTTTTCCTTATGAACTTTTATTAAGGAATCCCTCCTTGTGGCAAGTTCTTCATCTCTTACTTATCTTCCTAGGAAGTGGTGCACCATTCTTCTTTCTCTTCCACCATTTTTGGTTTGTCTTTGAAGCATTAGAGTTCATGGATGAACATTGGAGCATCAGTTGAGCTTGTTGAGAAGAAACCAATTTCATGTTCTCATTAATTTCATTAGTGCACAAGGTTAAAAACAACTCAAACATCAAAACATAGATCAAAGTACACATAAAAACATAATAAAAACACATAACACACTAGTTGGATGAACCAACCAGACTTTGATACTACTAAATGTGACACCTTTCTACCCTCAAGGCGTTTATTATAAAAGATGATGAAGAAAATACATTTATTTAAAAATACAAAATATAAAACAACTTAATTAATGTGCTGTCTAAAAAGGGTTCCATGTCTTTAATAAAAACTTTCTAGAAAAAAAGAGAGAAATAAATATAATATAAGTCCAAAAACAATTCCTTTTTTCTTCCTCTTCTTTTGAACGTTTTGGTTTGTCTTATGTGCATACTGCTTTCGTATTATGTTGATAGTATTCCTTTTTTCTATAGGAGAGAAGCCAATTACAAAGGTCAATAATAATGAGACTCTATGTTCTATTAAAGCTTGATCCCTAATTTTTAACCAACTTTCTTAAAGATTCATATGCACCTTAATTCAATCTTGTTCCCCTTCCCTCAAAGAGTTGCATAGAATCCCTTCCCATTTTTGGGTCAAAGTACTGTAGGACTCCTATAACTTAGTGTTATCACATTGAGTCAAAGTTGTATTTATGTGTGTAATAGAAATTATTATTACATGCCAATGTATTATAGTATTCTTTCTTTCTTTATTCTGAAACAACAGGTAGGGATGATCTAGGTTACATTAATTTCTTGTCATGAGAATATTGGCTGAATGCTCTTGCTTTGCTTGCCTTTAAAGGTGACAACTTCATACATATAAATCCTTTTGTTGATGCACAGGTTGTAATATTGAACTTATATTGTGGCATGCATAATTTTAAGACCATTACGATCCCCAGGTTATGGTTGAATCAAAAGGAAAAATCTATAAAAGGCTTGCTACTTGTGTTTGCCCCCTCGATCCTAGATGTTGATAGAAGAAAAATTGTTGCAAAAAATGGGCAAAAAGAAAAAGGAAAATTGACACCTTTCATGATCAAATTATATGTTTTTAATTTCAAATGCAAAACTCCCCCTCTTAAAAACTCCTACCACTTGGTGTCAAAAAAATAAAAAGATCTCCCACTTTTCTTTTAGGTTGGTTTCACCATTCTTTTATATCATGGTGTCAATCATGTGTATACAGACCCTTCCAAAAATTTCAAATTGGTTTCATTTTACTTGCTGATAGGAATACAAAGTGGTTGTGATGGAGGAGCATGGACTAAAGGTCCAACCACAAGAGCCATTGCTAGGAGGATACATGAAGATTTTGCTAGTTCAGAGTCCGGTGAGCTTGGTGGGTCCAAGCTACTCTTCACATGGGCCGTTTGTTGATATCTAATTTTCATGATTAGAGTAGAGGATATATTAGTGTAGATAGTATATTCCTTATCCTTGTATTTTGGGCTTTAGGATTAGTGATTTTGGGCATATATTGGACTTGTTTTTTGGTTTAATGGGCCTTAAGTATTTTGGTACCTAATATTGGACTCATTTTCTTTATTTTATTATTTCCTAATGTTTAGGATAGTTTGATCATTGTATTTAGGCCATTAGAGTAGGTTTTGAGAGGAAAAACTTAATTAGGCAAAGTTACCTAAATTAGGACACATTTAGGTTTAATTTGAGATGCATTTGGTGCACATGTGCTAGCCTAAGGTTGACTGCACTTGATCCACCCCAAATAATCTTAAAATAACCCTAAATGCAACCTAAATTAAATTATATCTGCATTTGGAGCTAGCATGTGCTGCCAAAGAAATTTGAATTTCAAATTCCATTTAAAATTCAAATTTTCGGTGCCAACTTGATAGCTTAGTGAGTGGGACCAATTTCTTGCTTCCTTGGCCTATAAATTCAGCTCTCGTTCCTTCATGGTATTCACTTTAAGTATTTGATCCAGAGCATTTAGCTTTTCAACTAAATTCTCTCTACTTGAAGTCTCCTAAACACATAGAAATCTAGGGTTCCTAAATGCCTTCTAGGTTAGCATCTTGTATGTAATCCTTTGCTCCCTTGGCAAAGATGCTTCCAAATTCCATAGATCCCTACGTGAACTCCTTTGTTTCCTCTCTTCTCAAGTCCAAAATTCATCTCAAAGAAGTTTCATGGAACTTGGAGCAATTATATGAAGAGTTCATTCATCAATTCTTCAAGAATTACAATTAGGCCGTAAAAAATTATTATCATATTCTTCTTTATAGTCAATTTTGGTGACCCTTTCTTTTCCTAAATTTCCACAACTAAAGACATTAAGAATTTGTTTGGATTAGTTTTTTTTAAAAATGCTTTTGAAAAAAAAAATACGAAAGATAAATAAATAAATTTTTTCATAAATTAAAATTTGTTTATACATAAACTTATTTATAATTCTTTTGGAGAAATTATATGCAAGAGTTTATATAAATTTATTTATGCATAATCTAATTTTAGTTTGTATAAAAATATTTTATTTTCTTATTTATTTTTATTTTAGAAGTGTTTTTAAAGAAGTTTATTCAATTAGATGTTAAGTCAATACCAAAAGGTTTGTAAGATATTTGTTTATTTTACTTTTATCTTGAGTTTTAAATCTCAAAAATACAAAAATGAGTTAACAGCCTCACTGCCTACAATAAACATTGAATATAAAATAATTAGTTAAATGTGCAATTTGGTATCCAAATACGGAGTCCAATACCTAGTTTTACTCAGTCACCATACAAAACAATCAATATTGAATATAAAATTTGTTTTTGATTATATAATTCAGTCTTGAAAAACCAGGTGCATATATAATAGTTTAAGACACTTATTCCAGAGAGATAAAAATACATGTGAAATATGTATTTTAGAGAGATAAAAACACACCCGGATTAGTGTTTCGAAAGTTCTGAAGGGTATCGTTAAAATAAAACTGCCTTATGATTTTTTTTAAGATGACATGTATGAGGCAAACCGTCCAGGAAGAAATTCCCCTCATCTCTTCCCACTCAGCCCACATAAAGAAAGTCCACTGGACCAAAAAATCCATAAGGTTGTTCTACAGACTAAGGCCTGCCCATAGACCTTAAATTTTAACTGGCTTTAGTCTCATTTTAATAGCTCTCGACCAGAACTAACAAGAATATAATTCACAAGTGGAGAGAAATATCGTTGAAAGTTGAAACCACATAAATAACTTTAGCACAGTCCTCAACACCAGTAGCCAACAATTCTTCTGCTTTTAAGAAAATGCACATATACAAGACTCTTCCACTGTAGGTTTTGCTCAGAAGCTTAATGTTTCAGCTGCATAACGTAGTGTAGAATAGGGAGCTTTACCCATTTGGAAATTCATATGATGATGAACAGTCGAGGGTAGTCCTTAAGGTTGTTAAGTACTTCAGTTCGGATCAGTTATCTATAACCGAGTTTGGGAGCCAAAAAAAGAGGTGTATCAATTTTAAGAATAAAGCGAATGATTTTTATAAATATGGGAGGAGACTATTTCCAACATAAATTGCAATAGTGCATGAAGCAACATATTAAAAATCAATATTTTAAATTGCATACTGAAAACACAGTTGCAGTTGCATCATGGTAGTTTTGGAAGTCTCCGAAACTGAGTTACAACTGCAATTGCAACTCTTTCGGTTGTTGCATTTGCCCCCAATTTTTCACAAGGTTTTTTTGAGAACTCTGCAATCGCAATAACAATTTAAAACTTTGTTCAAATTAAATAGACAAGAAATAAATTTATTAAAGAACTATATTAGGAAGGGGTAAATAGCGAACAAAACAATTTATTCCATGACTAATGATGACAAAACAAGTTCGCTGAAATTCAGAAAAATAAAGGAGCTAACTCCTCCCTATGCAGATATTGGCTAACCCTTGATCTTAGCCCTCCCACAGCTTTACACAGGAGAATAAACAACGGCATTTAAAAACTGCATGCTACAGCAACTACAGTCAGTGCCTCTATCAGGATAGCATTTGTCAAGAACTTCACTCACATCATACCATGGAAATCTGCTGTGTCCAACAGTACTGCTTTAATTTGCTCCGGGAGGACATCCTGGTCTTCACGGCATTGCTGGCAAGAAATGTGGAAGACTAGATATCAAAAATAAAATTTAAGACAGCTATAACAACGCGATAATGAAAAATTTAATGATGAAACACTTGTTAGAAAACAGCCTGAGGGAGCCCCATAAGACTGGTGAGTAAAAAACCTTGTGACAACCACTCATGAACATGATATATTCTTCAAAATTTCACCAATTGAATGAAAAATGATGGAACCCTACAGTATCCAGCTCAAACTTTGCAGTGGTGACCTCTCATAACTGACAAGCTTCATGCATATAATACATAGTTCAATCAAACAGAGAGAGAGGCAGAGCTGATACCACTAGATTTATAGTGGTCTCACTTCAGCATGCTTGCCATCTAATTGTGTTTCTCTAAGAGAATTGACAAGTGGTTCCCTAGATGTTATAGAAGTACCTGGAGTACTTTGCTGAATTCATGTATAATAGTTTTGAGAAGTGGAGCCAAGTACCCAAATTATGGTATCATGCTATTGCTTATCTCTACTAACCATCTTGTTGCTACCAAAGCACATGTCTTTCACTTCATCCTAGAAATTATGCAGTGTACTATTGCTCATACAAAAAATCAACGGCAAGCACAATAATAAAAAGCAAGGATATAAGAAGGGAAACATTGATGTAAAACATTGCTGAGGAAAAAGCAAACTAAATACCTCAGCTTTGAACACATCTAAAGCAAAACCATTGAAACAGCTGATAACAGCCTGCTG